AGATGTCTCACCGTTGATCATGACCACGTGTCGCAAATCAGTAAGGAATGGTGACAGTCACGATTCGAGAAAACCAAACCATCATCCTTCCCCATTGAAAAACTCAAGCGACGGCACTCTCTCCCTCCGCATTCAATACGCCCCAATCTGCATTCAATGTTCTGATAAGGGGTATCGTTTCAGCATGTCATGCATTTAATGCACCTGGTTGGCACTTATTGCGCACAGAACACGTCTGTCAAAGCAGAAGTTATTTTATTAAATGCAGTCGTTACAAAAATGTGGCAGATGACATCTGAAAAGGTCATTACATAGAACACTCTCCATCGGTTCAGTAGCGAAGCGACGCGACTCTTCAATCATGGCCCTCTGGTCGTGAAGCGACATGACTATTGATAAGCATTCGGTCCTGAAACAACACGACCCCTTGTTTAGCAAAGGATTCCAAGTGTAATCAGGTCGCGCGCATAAAGGCGTTGCCTTGACCTCCTTTCGATAAGGTAGGTTCGACCAAAATCTCTTCATTGGCACCACAGCATGATATGTAGTTTCCAAGGTTCGATCTTCAAACCTTACAAACTAGGGGACTTTTGTTATGCCTGAAGAAAATAGGGGTGACGTAAGGCCATGTCAGCATGCAAAAGTCAGAACCTGGGTACACCCATAGCCGAGTCACGTGATGAAAGGAGCAGCACGCTTCTGTCAGTGTAGTGGGTGCGCGCCAGACCAGCCAGGAGCTGGAGAGCTCCCACGTGTCCAATTCCTGCACCAAATCACGTAAATCGCTCTGGAAGGTGGGCAATGAGACATAAAGGAAGATTTGTACGGATAATCCCACTAACTCACAGATTCAGTAATCATAACCTTAATCTATCCCACTATAAATTGAGAGTTCCTCTCTCAACTTGGGGATTAGCTAATCTCTTAAAAGAAACAGCACATACGCTCTCTCTCTCTGTCTCTTTACTCTCTCAATCATTTGTAAAATTAGCTCGCGACATGCGACCTGACCGCTATCATTAATACAACATCAGTGGACGTAGGACTTGCTTCCTGAAGCATCCGAACCACTTTAAACAATGTCTAGTCATTTCTTTTACTCTCATTCTTTCATCCACGTGTGTCTTCTGAGTCAGCTTAGCATTAAGGTAAATAATTGCCTAAATTATTTAGCAAATGAACCAACTGTTATATCTACATTTACATGAAACTCTTAACTTCTAATGTACAAAGAAAATGATCATACCTTCTGATTCTGCGTGCGAAGAGAAAGTAATAACCGAATAATGAGTTGATATCACTTTATTTCTGTAGCTTCTTTCTTTGAACTCCTTAGAAATTCACGAGCATGTATAAGCATTTTGTGTAGTAGACAGTGTGCTTTTACTATGGACAATAACGATGGATTATGGTTTTTTTCCAGGCAAAATGTGTCAGCACGTGGGCAATACATTGGGTCCTTTATTGAGTACATTAAAGGAAATTAATGAAGAAGGAATTGCATGTTAAATTCAATTTTAGTCAATCACGTTCAGGAATTGCCTTATGCCTAGGGGACAACACTACCAAAAAATGTTAAGATACGATTATTGAAATCTGTCAACATTATTTTTTACTGAAAAAACCGACTTTTGGATGGTCAGGCGGTTAACTGAGATTTTTTGGTGTATTACTCAAGAGATCTTAAATTTAATTCTCCTGAGTTGCTAATAAGGGTGGCCACTAGAAGATTACTCGGTCGTTAACTTCAGCCTTCAGGGCCTTGGGAGATTAGTTGAGGTGCACGCAAACTAGGCTGGACACCTCTGATTATCAAAACAAAAAAAAAAAAAAATTATTGAAAAGGTATTTTATATAAAGTACCTTAGTAATCTCTTAATATAAAATTATAAATCACGTAGAATTTTTTATGTTTTTTTGTTTAATATGTCAGTGAAATGTATCTTTGATTTATGATTCAAAACTAGTTTTAAAAAACTAAAATAGGGTTCAAATTTTAGTTGTATCTTATATTTTTAATATTTGGAAATGTATTTGATATGATTTTTAAAAATTGTTATCGAATTAAAAATAATAGAAAACTATTAAAACGATATTTAATCGTTTTTCTACTTGTACTAGTTTTTAAGATTGTATCATAAAACTGTTTTTTGAAATATTTCAAATCATTTCTATAAAGTTTTTGTATCCCTTGTTTTTAAAAACAAAAAATTAAAGCTAAATTCTATATCAAATAGGCCACTAATTTTTATCTTTCTCTAGTTATTACAGTAAAACCTCTCTATAGTGATACTCTATTTAAGAATAAACTCTACATGGTCATAAAAAATTATATTCTCAATTTGGGATAGTTATAAATAAGAATAAACTCTATATTGTAATAAGTTATAATTTTTTTAATTCCCATCTTAAGAAAAGTTACCTCCACATAGTAATAATTATCTGTATATTGCAAAACAAATATGCTATGTTACATTAAATGTTTAAGATGAAACAATATATTTATCTAAAGTTGTTTAAGATAATGATTTATGTTTTAAAGTTGTTACTATATCTTTTAACTTGCAGATAAATTACTCGCTAGCATGAACATCTTCTTGTTGAAGCCAAATATTTATAGTTTCTCAAGTATGTTTAGAGCTTCTTGACACAAAACTTTTTATATTTCTGTACTATCAACCTCATGATTATTTCCTTTATCTTCTTGTCTAATTGTAGAAGTGATTTCTTCTTTAGTTAAAGCATACATGACTTATTGCTCATTTGGATTAGTAAGAAAGACATTAATATCTATTTGATTAGTGTAATGAAGTTGTCGAATCTTATCACTAAATTCTACAATGACTTTTTGATTCTTCTCATCCACTTCATTTGTAACTTGCAATTCATCGACATCGGGAATCCTAATTTGGTAATGATTAAAACAATTGGGAATAGTATGTGGCTTCACATCAACTTGCTACATAATTTTGTAATGATTAAAACAATTAGCAATAGTTTGTGGCTTCACATCATTTTGACCAATTAGCAATATTTTTGCTAGTTGCAAGACACGATCTTCTATTAATTTCAAAAGTAGGCAATTGAAGTGTTGAATTGAAATCTTAACAGTATTAGAACATCAATTGAAATCCTAACACTATACAACTAAAACATGAATTATAAAGAAATTTTTGTTACCACACCTCTATTAAGTTATAACCTCCTCATAGTAATAAAATTAATTAATCCCACTATTATGACTATAGAGAGGTTTTACTGTATTAAGATCTGGAGTGAAATTTTGGAGATAACATTGTTAGTTTCTGAAATTAAAACAGAGTGATTTTGCATTTAACTAGTATACATATAATTTTTTTTTATTAGTTTTCTTTTCTTTTATATGATGCGTTGGGTCCAAGCTACTTTAATCATACTGTATCATTAGCTTTCTTTTTTTTTTTTTTTTTGTGATCGAGGCTGTCTAAGCTAGCTTACGTGCATCTCAACTAATCCTTCGGAGCCCTAAAGTTGACAACCGGATAAATCTCCTCAGTGGTCATCCTTATTAGCAACTTAGGTGAATCGAACTAGGACTTCTTAAATAATACATTCAAGAGTCCTAGTTGATCGTTGGTTTTTTTTTTTTTTTTTTTTGATATGATGTGATCATCTCATTTGTTGTGAAGATTTTAGGCAATTTTATTTAATATTAGTTCAGCTATGGTCTGAAAACTTGTGTATGTAACCTCATTACGTGTCATGTGGATTTCATTGAGCCCAAAAGGAAATATAACTATATATGTTAATATGTGTGATTCAAATATATTAATAATAAGTTTATGATATGCTATTTGTATTAGATAAAGATGCTTGTAGTTTATGATGTTAGATAGATCCTCTTTACGTGGGTGGCCAAGTGGTTCGATAAGGAATATTTGGTGTATTATTCAAAGGGTCTTGAATTCGAATCCCTTTTTAGTTGCTATGGTGGTTCTAGGGTCTTGAAAGATTAGTTGAAATGTATATAAGTTGACTTTGACACTCTCGATCATAAAAACAAAACAAAAAACTTCTTGCTCCATGATAGCTATTCGTATAAGATTCACTTTTAATTCATGAAGCCAAAGTTACATTTGAATACATTAAAAATTATAAGTTAGAATAATTATAGAAAGTTAAAATAGTAGCTATGGTCATGCATAATATCTTCATAATAGTTTAATGCACAGGACAAGCCAGTTCCATCCAATTAGTCGAGGGTATCTAGCTGGAATGGTTGCTTTCCAGGCAAAATGTGTCAGCACCTGGGTAATAAAATGGGTCCTTTATTCAGTAACTTAAAGGAGATGAGGAAGGAATTGCATGTTAAATTCCATTTTAGTCGATCACAATGACAAGAAGTTCAGGAATTGCCTTAAGCCTAGGGGGCTACACTACCAAAAAAGGTCCATCCTCCGACGCAGATTCCCGACGCGAGGACCGGCATTGGAGTTTGCCGACAACGCCGACGAGCAGCTACGTGGGCTAAAAAAGTTTATACCCCAACTTAGAATGCACCAATATATGGATGTGTTCTCTGACATTAATTTCTTGATTTGAACAAATAAAAACTTGTGGTTGGTATTTTATTACACTATAATATATCAATAATGCTACGGATACCGGGATTTTTGCACCGAAATATTGTACCAGCATACGTGTAACACGTCTCTAATTTTTTTAACAAATTTTTTCTAGTGAACGGCCGTCCATCAAATTTGGACGGCCGTTCACTCACATGGACGCCCGTCCATATACAAGGGACGGGCATTCCCATTTAAAGGACGCCCGTCCATAAATAAAATATGAAAAAAAAAAAAGAACTTTGGGGACGGCCGTCCCTTATGTTTGGATAGGTGTCCATTAGGAATGAATGTCCATCCATACTTTAAAAAAAAAAAAATGGACGCCCGTCCATACTTTTAAAAAAAAAAAAAAATTCGTCTTCATTCCCTATCTCCTCTCTTTTTCTTCTGTCTTCATATCCACCTTTGAATAGCTCTGAAACAGCTTACTCCATGACGTAAAGTAGCTCTCAACATCTCTTCACTGATACCACTAAGATAGTCCTCAAAGTTTTCATGGGATCGCAATAGAAAAGCCATGACGAATGGATAGGGGCTACCTCTCATGGCCTTTTCAATTTTCCTCCTGGGGTTCGTCCTATGCCTCTGGAAATACATATTCAGGGAGTGGATATATCCAATTTTGATGCAAGGATGCAAGCCATGACGAAACCCATATATACTGCAATTGTCCAACATGCCAAGAATGGAAAACCTGTGTTTGTATTTGTCCCTTCAAGAAACCAAGACTGGCTGGAGGACGTCAAAAAGTTCGCTGATGATGTGCAGTATCTATAGAAACCAAAATAATGGACGCCCGTCCAAACGTTTTTTTTTTTTTTTTTTTAAAGTATGGACGGGCGTCCATTAGGAATGGACGCTCACCCAAATGTAAGGGACTGTCGTCCATAATTTATGGATGGCCGTCCCCAAAATTTTTTTTTTTATTTTCATATTTTATTTATGGACGGGCGTCCTTTAAATGGGGACGCCCCTCCCTTGTATATGGACGCCCATCCCTTATATATGGACGTCCGTTCATATAACATGGACAGGCGTCCATGTGAATGAACGGCCGTCCAAATTTGATGGACAGCCGTTCACTAGAAAAAAATTGTTAAAAAAATCAAAGCGTGTTACACGTAGACTGGTACAATATTTCGGTGCAAAAATCCCAGTGTCCGTAGCATTATTAATAATATATATCATTAAGTTGGTGGCTTCGTAGTGCTTCATTTTGTTGAGAAACTAATTTATCTTTGTAGTCCCACATTAGGATTACACCAAAACATTATATGGAAGACAAAAGATATTATGATACTCGTTTTGTAATATACTTTTAAATTAATGTTCTATGTAATTTATTAAGCTTCACCTTTGTTGTTTATTGATCCAATAATTAAAAATGAATGCAAATCTTCTCAAATAATACCATATAAATAAACTTCATCTATAAATTTTTAAATACAATTTGATAAATAAACCACACATATTGACAATAGTACCATACAACAACGAAAATAGTAATCACAATAGTTGTTCAATATGCGAAGATGAATAAAAGCAAAATACCACATTGATAGAATTTGATATGGGTTTGACTCTTCACCTAATAAGGCATTATTGAATAGGAGGATTATATTCTCTTATAAACTAGTAGGCTTAAGCGTGCTTAGTCAGTGTAGGACTCCAACACTCGCACTCACAATCAAGCTCATATGTTAGGTTATGCTTGTTATTGGAGGTAGTTATTGATTTTAACTCCTCACCCGCTGGTCAAACACTCAGTTCAACTGAATCTGGGCTCTGATACCATGATAGAATTTGAGGTGGGCTTGACTCCTCACCCAATAAAGCCTTGTTCAATAGGAGGATTACCCTCTCTTATAAACTAGTAGGTTTGAGTGTTCCTAGTCGGTGTGAGACTCCAACACACATTACTTCGTACAATCCTACCCTTTTAATGAAAGATGTGAACAAATTATTTAGAACTCATAAAATCTTACCATCTTGATTCTTACATAGAACCAAATGAAATTCAATCGATCCTTCTACATATTTTGTAGCATCGAAAATATTTGTCGAGGCAATTAATAATCCTTTTTCAAACAAAAATGGTGTCGCGGAATTAAGTGTTTTATGTCACAACTCCAATGTGCATCGGAGTAATTCCACTATCAACTTCGACGCCCATAAACGTCGCATCAATGTGTTTTAAATATACAGACAGCCTGGGTCGATTTTGGATCCAAAGAGATGGGTTCTCGGTCCTCAGGCGTTAGCTTGCAAGCAAAATGCCATAGAGAAACAAATGCATCCTTTGGCTCTCTAGCTGTAAATGTAAACAGTGTTCAACCTGAATCTTTTACAGATTTTGGCAAGGAAGTGTACGGAATGTGGGCGGCTTAGTTGATAATCTCCTTGATAGATTTATCTCAATATAGGGAAGACAAACATGGGGACGCTTTGTGAGCAAAGGGGGTGGTGGTATTCTCAATAAACTTATCATTTCCGTTCACAATGGTGAAGGTCGACAGAGCCTTAAGCCAAGTGCTTCCACATTTTGGAGCGCTGCTGAGAAGAATAATATCACTGGAGTGATGAGACATTAACTGTTGTTGAGCAAACAAGGCATACTCTAGAATGGAAGCTCACACCAGAAGCCTTTGTAGACACAAAGATAATCTAAAAATCCCCAACCATTTACTCTGGGAAGAGATGAGATTGTATTTTTGTATATTTCAGGAGAGCTGACTTCTTCATTTGATGAGGTTCCTCCCACGGCTTCAATGGTTGCAACATAAGTGTGAAATAGTAATGGTATTAAATATAATATTGAATCCTTACATGGTAGTTTATGTTTTTAGTTTGTAACGGCAATTTAATAAGGCATCATAATTGAAGGNGCTACCAAATTTCACAGAATTGAGCTGACAAGAAGCAACAGTATACCTGAAGATTCTGCTTCTGCCTTGGTCTGGAGTCATCTGGGGACTGGGAATTCTTAGAAGACCCACCCCCTGCCACACCATTGGCTGTGGAGTTGGCCTGTATAGTGCGTGTAACACCGCCAACCTTGAGCTTAACCTTTTTCACCTTACTCTCATTTCCTAAACCATCACAATTCACTCCCCCCAACTGCCCTGGACTCTGGCTTTCACCATTCCTTCTCCAGTTAGCAGGGGCAAGGACACCTTCACTAGCACGTTTGTTGTTATGACCACTTCGCCCCAGTTCACTATTGTAGAAAATGTTAAATCCTCCATCCTCCCTCTTAGCTTTTTTTTGGGGTTTCTCACCTTCAAATCCACTACCAGAAGAAAACCCAGAAACAGATTGATTGAGATTGAACTCTTTCCGCTTAGATTTATTACCACACCCAACATTCTCATCACTAGAGATCTTGCTCATATCATCTGAAGGTGGCGTTGAATCACGACTTTCAACAAAAGATTGGGAATCAGGTCGTGGTCGGCGAGAAGTTTGACTTCTCTTCTTCTTGATAGCATTATTAATACCATTAAAACAATGGCCCCCCAACTCTTCCATGAACCAAAAATTGTTATCTGCCAGATACAGTGCTGCCACTACTTCTCAGATCATGTAACCAAAAAATACCGCAGAAAGTATGCAATGTAGAAAGTTTGAAAATGCTACACCAAAAATAAAATGAGAACCAATGAGTTCTTGTATTGGACAGATCCTAACAGAAAACAAGAGACGAAAGAAAAAAACGAACAATAAGAATAAAATGTTACTCAACAAAGCAATTGCCAGTGACATGAATTATTTAATGAAAAAAAGTTGGGCAATGCACATAGCCGGAGAATCTAAAAACCCAGGACCATAGCACAATACCTAATAAACAGATCTAAAATTCATGAAAGTGAAGAAATTCAAATGCAATAGAATGCGGATTACACAAATACATAGGTAGAACCGAAATAGAATGAAGGAAGGTAATCGAGAACCTCACATCATTGAACAAAATAAATTGACAATTCTTAGCGAACATACAAATCTAAGCCCACCAATCTCAGGGCTACAAAAACAGAGAACAAAATTAAGAAATCAAGAAACAAAAACTTAACACATTCACCAACCATCGTCAAACCCAAAATCGAGAGAGCCAACAACGAAAAGAAACAATAACAAAACGAAAAGCTCATGAGAAAGACAGATTCGTCACCTTCTCCCTCGGTCAAGAAACAAGAAAAAACTTGACAACGAGACGGAAACTCTGGGTCGAGACGGAAACAAGAGGCAAAGAAGAAAAGTAGAGAGAAAGGGAGAAGAATTGAGTGGTATAGGTTTGGTGGGTATGTAAAAAAAGAGGGGAGTTTTTGTTAATGTGAAAAAAGTGGGGTTAGAGATAAGAGTCAGGGTTAGAGAAGAATAGGTAACAATGATGGGAATGAGAGAGGTAAAGGAAAGATCACTAATTATCTTCTTGTTCTCCATTTTTTTTCTAGTGCCACGCCCTAACCCAAACCCACACTCCGCTGTGTTTTATTTTTTGTTTTTGTTAAGGTGTGATTTTAAGATTTTGTTGATTCGGTCACTTTGACTCGGGACCCAACTCACTCGAATCGACTCAATTCAATCTCTCTCCTACTCTCTCACTAGTAGAGTTGCTCTCTCTCTCTCTCTCCCCCTTGCCTTGTTTGCCTTTTTATTTCCCTCCTCTTCTTCACACGGTTACGCTGCAAGTGTGTGCGCAGGTTTAGGCCCTCCGCACCGTTGTGTTCACGTTAGTGGCCTCCTCTCTTATTCCTTACATGTGTGACGTGCCACGTGTCCCGCGGCCGTTACCTTTGTAGGAATTGCGCTGGAATTTGATTGGGTGTGGATTTGGTTGGTTTTAATTTAACCTTTTTCTGTAATTTAGGAGGTATTGATCAAAGTTTATAAATAGGTCATATTAGTTTATAAGCTCTAAGATTAACCTAATCTGTTTGTTTATAACTTTTTTAAACTTATAAGCCAAAAGAAAAATAAGTTAGGAGGAGGTACTTTTTATTTATTTTTTTACTTATAAGCTAGTTTGACCAAGTATATTACCATATTATCTTTGTTTAATTTTAAAATTCTATAGTATACCCTTATTTAATATAGTATCTTTTTTAGTCATTTTATAATAAAATGTACTTATAAAATACATTTTACCAAAGACGTCAACTACTTATCAGCCACTTATAAGTATTTTAACCAAACACGTAATTGCTTAAAATTTCAAATGCTTATAAGCTAAAATTAGCTTATAAGCATTTGTTGCTTATAAGCTAATTTTCATAAGCACAGACAATTACCCCCTTAATAAAATATAACAACAAAAAGATATTATAATCAAAAGATATAAAAACAAATTTATTATTGTTATGCCTAAAAACCACGTAAACTTACGTCAGTGAGTATAAATCAGAGTTCATAAAGGTTTTGCATCGTCCAAGAGCTGTCATATTGCCCCGTGATAGAAAGAATACAGTTGTCATCAACTTAGCAGATTCATGTTTTATTTATGAGTGATTGAGGACCACATACCTGTCCAAGCCCCAAACAATTTGAGGATATTTCATAAGTTATCAGTCAATGGGAGGTAAAGAAGGACTTGCATGGCACGTACCCACTTGCAGATTTGTAATCATTATCTTGAATCCCACTACTATAAATATAGGAGTCCCCCTCTCATTTTCGGGATCCTGAACCTTCATTCTGATTGTAATCTTTATTTTCAGAGCAAAGATAACTTATGAGAAAGAGACTAACTTGATTTCTCTCTGAGTACTCAGTTATTGTACCTCTGCTCGCTGTTCGTTGTATGCGACCTCTTGTAATCTCACATATATAAAAGAAACAGTGGACGTAGGAATCACTTTAAGCGTCCGAACCACTTTAAAAATCATTTCTTATTTATTGTTCAGTCTTTGCATTCAATTATATTGATTAGCTCTCACATAATCATTCACGTGTAATTTCTAAGAACAGCTTAGCACTTTGCACTTGCAAGTCATTGGTGTCAAAATCACGCATCAATAGTTTGGTGCTAGAATGAGGGCTTGATTTTATATCTGCTCGTCATTCAAAATCTCTGATCTATCAATTCTACTCGTGAACAAATGGCTCGTGGTCTTGAAACTGAGAGAACTAGCACCAACAACAAGGAGATCCCGCGAGTACATGATGTTACTTCTCTCGAAATACCTTTAGTTCCCTAAGGTACCGTAACGTCCTTGCAACCTCACGGCTTGATCCAGCTGTAATGAATTACCTAGAGAGGTTCAACAATACTCTCCAAACGGTTAACTGAAGATTAGATCGTTTGGATCAGGTTGTACCGCCCAATTTTGACAAGGTGGTGCCACCTCCAAAAACGTTTGTAGGTCACACAAAAGCGTGGAAACAGGCGAAAGCTCATACCACACGCACTACAGCGCGTAAAAATAAGAGAAAGCAAGTGGTTGACAATGGGCCAAAAGGCTCGAAGGGGCCAGTGAATACCAGTCGTGAAACAGGTAAAATACCTGCAGCTTTGCGATTTGGCGGTATGTCACATCATGAGCTGTCTCACGCCACATCGCATGGGTACCCCCACAAGAGTGCACGGCATTAGAATGATGGTTCTGACCATCATCGCGAAGGAAATACCCACCATCCATGGGTCGATTCTAACCACGATGGAGGTTAGGATAACTCCCCTAGCTATTCAGTGCCTTCACATGGCTCTAGCCAGCATGTGTTAAGGTATGCTGAAAGCTCTGGCCAAGGTGTGGAAGAGTCCAACCTGCGGTCTTTCCTCAATCGTAATCGTGGGGGGCAAACCCACATTGTAGAAAGTGATCCCCAGGTGGCTCTGCTTCCTCAGATTGAGGAGTTACAGCGAGCTTTAGATTTTGACTGCTCCTCTCCCATCAAGGTTTAAAATGCCAGATATATGAGCATTCGATGGGAATTCTGATCCACAGGATCATCTCTATGAGTTTAACGACCTCATAGAGCTCCACCAAGTTTTCAACTTGGCTAAATGTTGCTACTTAGCAATGACTCTTACTGCCCATGCTAAGTGTTGGTTTAGGTCACTTTCACCAAGATCTATCAACTCGTGGCAGCAGATAAGTTCGTTATTTTTTAAACACTTCCATGCCAATAGGAAGTTCTCAATGCCACTGAGCTATCTTAGCAACATACGGCAGAAGAGGAATGAATCCCTCCAATCCTATATTAATAGATTCCACAAAGAGCTTAACAAGATGGCTAACACACCCGATTATTGTAGGAGTTTGCTCGCAAACCGACCCGTGGAAGAAACTGCAATCTGAGGACGATATTTCCTTCACTCGCTTTTACAACCTCATAGAGAAATATCTCATAATTGAAAATTCTATGGCTACCTTGAATTGCCACGACCCTGGTTCTTCGACCAGTACTCCCAGTCGGAGGGAGGAAAACTGGGGAGAGAATAGTAAAAGATCTGATTGCAAATGGGCTAATAACGATTAGAGAAAGGAAAAGAAATAGCGGTTTGAGCCTAAGAAATCTTATGCCTAAGTTCCTCGTCGTGATCGTTACAAGAATCTGTTTACTCGACTGAACGCATCGATATCAGCTATTCTGGATAAATCAGAAGAAGCTAATCTGTTCGGAGAGCCAGAGCCCATGAAAAATCCTCCTTCAACCGATGAGTGTCGAGCTCTTAAACAAGCAATTGAAGACCTCATTAAAAAGGGGTATTTCAAGAAGTATGTGGATGGTCCAACTCTCACTCGGTAGAAGGATCAAGAGGACGATGGGAAGAAGCATCGTGGTCGCAAGGGTCTCAATTTTGTTAGTATTATATTTGGAGGACCACACCTCGCGGGGAATTCTCGTGGTGCTCAGGAGAAGTACGCTCGAGAAGCTCGTCATGATCCCGTGAGTGTATTAAATATGGCATTGCAACCTGCTAAGGTGCGCAAAGATGAAGAGATTACCTTCTCAGAGAAAGACGCGATACGATTGTATCACCCTCATGAGGATGCACTCATCATCATGGCTAAAATATGTCGGTGCGAAGTCCACAGAATGTTGGTGGATAATGGGAGCGCTTGAACATCATATTTCCACGAGCATCCAAAAAAATGCAGTTGGAAGAGGCAAATTTGAAGCCTGCCTCTATCTCCTTCTATGGTTTTACTAAGATCATTTTATTCCCAAGGGAACGATTGCATTTCCTGTCACTTAGGGTGAGACCCACGAAGTGACTAAGATGACAGAATTTCTAGTGGTAGACTATCTGTCTACTTTTAATGGCATATTGGGATGACCTCTACTTCAAAGCTGTCACCTCATTTAAATATGAAATTTCCCACTTTGACAGGGTGTGGGGAAGTTAAGGGGTCTCAGCTTGAATCTCGCGATTGCTATGTAAGAGCAGTGCAGATGGCATGCAAAGGGAAAGGGAAGCCAGCGGGCATTCTCAAGCAGACTATGGTGATCAACAGGATCGAACCACAGCTAGGTCTAGTGGAAGACAACATAGATTCTCATGTTCAAAGAGGAGTATTCCCGCAGTGTGCATGTTGAGACTCTATTTAAGGTATCAGTCGACCAAAATGAGCTTACTCGTATGTTGAGAATTGGAAGTAATCTCAGCTCTCAGCTCGCTACTAATCTAGCGAGCTTCCTTAGGCAGAATATAGATGTTTTTGTATGGTCTCATGCTGACATGATCGAGATCAGCCCGAATGTAATATGTCATACACTCAATATTGACAGTTAGGTCGAGCCAGTTCACCAGAAAAGAAGGGTTATAGACCCAAAGCGTTATGTTGCTCTTAAAGTTAAGGTGGATAAGCTTCTCTAAATTGGGTTTATTCGAGAAGCTCATTACTCGAGTTGGGTCACCAATCCTGTTTTGGTGAAGAAACCCAACGGTAAGTGGCGAACCTATGTTGATTTCATAGATCTCGACAAAGCTTGTTTGAAGGACAATTTCCTTTTGCCCAGAATCGATCAGCTCATTGATGCCACTTCTGGGCATGAGTTGTTGAGCTTCATGGATGTCCACTCGGAATATAATCAGATCCTAATGTACACACTCGACAAGGAGAATACCTCGTTCATTACAAATCGAGGACTATACTGTTATAAAGTCATGCTCTTTGGTCTAAAAAAGTTGGGTGACCTACTAGCGTTTGATTAACCATATGTTTTTTTAGCAGATCGAGAAATCAATAGAGGTTTATGTCAATGACATGCTGGTCAAGTCGCATGCCGCTTCAAATCACATAGCTAACCTCGCGAAAATGTTCGACGTACTCTGGAGATATAGAATGGAACTTAATCCTCTTAAGTGTTCATTCGAAATATCCTCAGGAAATTTTTTGGGGTATATGGTTAACCATCGGGGAATTGATGTCAACCCCGAGAAGATCCAAGCTCTCCTAGATATGAAAAGTCTCACCAATCGAAAGTAAGTTCAAAGCTTGAATAAGAGAATAGTGGCTCTTAGTTGCTTCATATCGAGAGCAACAGATCGTTGTTTGTCATTCTTCAATATACTCAGAGCCAACAAGAGATTTGAATGGACTCCAGAGTGTGAGCGAGCTTTCTAAAGCATAAAAGAGCATCTCAGAAAGCCACATCTTCTGTCCAAGCCTCTTCCCAAGAAAATCTTATTTCTCTATCTGTCCGTCTCTCAGTATGAGGTCAGCGCAGCTCTTATTTGGAAAG